GCTGAATCTATCTAAGAAATATTGCTGAATCTCTCTATGAAATATTGCTGAATCTGTCTATGAAATAATGCTGAATCTGTCTATGAAATAATGCTTAATCTGTCCATGTGTAATCTACTCTCTCTGTCATGTTTTATTTTGATTGATGTTATTTTGTTTGACCTCTTGTTACACACTTTGTGTGTCAGAGCGTAATACAAAAAATCTTGAAATCTTGAATCTTGTCAATTATACGTTGCTGTGTATGCTTATGAGCCGTAAGGCTTCAAGTTGAATAAACAATACAATACAATACTAGTAATAACCCTGAGTGTGTGACACTAATTAGGAAATAACAGAATTCTGGACTCGGGCAATCATCCCGGGTCCGTGCCCCCGGGCACTTAACAATCCAAGTTCCTGAAAGTACACTAATGAGGTGTATACTGGTACCTGATCTAAATCACAGTTACAGGTAAATATATATATCTACATATGTTGGTAATGCAATGACAACGAAAGCGGAGATAAATATTGAATCGAATTTTGCAAATAGGGTATTTTCCCCAAATTTCTTCTAGCCTACTAAATAAGAATAAATGTTTGAATAGTTTTGTTATGCTATTTACGTTATAAACGTATTTACATACATGAACATTCAACGAAAAATAAATATTATAACAACTATCGATAACTGTACCGTTTATAATATGTATGAATATAGATTAGTTCCAATAAACATATACACAAAGTACGTACATATATACTGTACTAAACTTCTTGGCCCATATACTGTACTAAAGATATATGCTTGTGAAAAGTTAATCTAAACACTAAACTAAATACGTATACACGTCGAAATTATCAAAACATATTTAAGTCTTTAAAATGCATGTCAGGTTATATGAATGCTTAACCACAGACTTTATCCAGTTCCGTGGACAATATCTTATTTTGAACATAAATATTACAGCAACATGTACATTATGTATGTAAGTCCCGGGTCTTGTTTATTTAGGTGAATCTTTTTATTGTGAAAAACGTCTGCGTTGCTGTCTGATCAGATACCATTGCATAATCCGTTCTTGACGTTTTTACAGTTTTGAGTTTAGCTGGTGAATTGCTTTTCTCAGTTTTATCTGGCAAGATAATCATATATATGTGTAATTACCCATTCTAAATTGTCCACTCGGCACGCGACGCCAATATTCAATAGCCACCCAAATAACCAATCAGCTTCTGTGTTCCCAGGAGGGCGGGATCACTGATAAGGTGGGGTACTTACCTGGAACGATGATTGGCTTGTTTCTGTCGACAGAGTCACCAATGTACGTTTTTGTTAGAATA